GTACAAGATATCCGATATCTATTCTCATTTACCTTGCTTGAATATAGGTTGAAATAAAGTGTTAAAAGCTTAAGTCGCTACACGCAGTTTTAAAATGTTAATGTATATCAATTTCCCAATTTTATTTATAGTCATTTGTGTTTTTTTCGGTAAAACGTGTATCTTGGAGTTTTGCTTGAATAAGAATATTGTCAACGTGTATTTGTTCCGCCTAACAGAAGTTCCCCTGGAAACTTTGTTATAAACAATGTCATAATATCTGTTCATGTTGGAACAGATATTCTATACCCTTTATTCCGTAAGGAACAAATACTGTAATATTTGTTCCAATGGAAACAGTATTACAGAATATTTCTTCCACTTGGAACTTATATTATGAAGGAACTTCTATTCCGTGACAATATAAGCATGCGAATAACGAGCAATGAATAGGACAGTTTCCTACAACGTGGATATCATATAATTCATTCTTTATATAAACAACAGTAAATATGTTTTTTATAACATAAACAAATAATAATATTCTAATAAGAGATTATGAGAAAGTAGTCGTCTTAATAGTTTACGGATGTCTGTAACAAAAGAAGAAGAGATAAAACCGAAATTTTTTTTACATATACATGTAGTAAGATATGTTAGTATCAAATGATTTTTAGAGACCTGATTTCAATAAATTATGTTTTTGCATCAAAGGATGGATGGAATGGGTGCGCACTTTGAGGGTTTTTAATCCATCAGAGTTTTTTAATTTCTTGACTTTTAAACTGTTTTTTATAGATTATTTCAAGGAGTGCCTTGAATTGACCACACTATTTCTAAAACAGTAAGTGCAAGTACAAAATCTGCAATTGTGTAAAGACATCGGTACACATTACATGTCTTCAACAAACTTCTGATAGAGCTTACATTGCATTCTTAATTTGCAGTTTCATGAAAATATTTACCAAGGAGATCCATAGATATTTATTCCACAAACAGAAACCATTGAATCTTGTAAATAAATAGCGTTAGTCACCATTTCTCTAACAAATTTTATACGTTTGGATCTGAGATAACGTTTGACTTCATCAATTCTTTCTTTAAAACAGTAAGCTTCGGTAAAAAGATTTTCGTCAAAAGACAACTCATGATTTCCTGCGATTACAATCTTCTTTTTATGAGATAGTTTACCTGAAATTTATAACGCATCAATTAGACACACACCCATGGGTAGTAAAGCGGGAATCCAGAAAATTCATTTGTATGGAGTATAACAATTACTCATTTACATTATTTTCATTCAGAATCTTGAGTTTAATACTAATTCATTGTAATATAAATTAAAACTGACACACATTTGTTTAAAGCCACTGCAAGAAAATATTCAAATATGTTATTTTGCAAGATAACGACACACTGAGCTCATCCTTGGTCAATCCAGCTAGTATGTGTGGTAATTAAGTTTAACATATGCATAGTAGATGCCGGTATATGTCAAAGTATTATACATATGCTTTTTTAACACTTTTATAAATGTATTTGACTTTCTTTAATACTTTAAACATACATACTATACTCATCAATTCTGCATCTACCTAATTAATCCCCTAATAGAAAACTAAGTTCTCTTTTTATAATTCTCTGATATATAAAGCAGAAGAAATGCATCTATCAAAATAGACACATCATGGTCAAATGTTTTTCCCTGTTCAAACGGTGGATTAATGACTTATACTTGATTAAAATTCTGATAGCTAATACTTGTTATTTTGTAAACATTTTTTTTAATAATTTAACATCTAATGAATATCATAGACAGTTTTATCAAATAGGTTTTCAAAGATGTAAAACGTCAATCATATTGTCACATGTGTAAATTTTGAAATAGTGACAGAATGCTCAACTGTCTATCATAAATATTGTGATATTTAAATTCTCCCTCGCCCTGCTCGTCCGAATTTAAAGTATTTCTACTCTAAATTCAATAGGCTTTAAACAAAACAAACACAGAAATAGGATTAGTTGCTCGCAGTAACATATTATCTTCTCTTGCGATACATTATTTTATTAAACTTTATAATACAGGTTTCTTTTATACAACCAACATATATAAATACATGTAATAAACATAGCAGCCACTGTATATATACTAATGTGACTAACTTCGTGACGATTCGACGTAAATGCGAGCACCTTCGATACTAATACATTTAAATGCCAAACTTTATACAGTACCATAAAACCCTACCCGTAGAAACCGCCAAAACTTTTCTCGTGCCTTGTGCACGTACTATCAAATTTTATAAATAGTACATACTCTTGCAGAACTAGTTTCAGAACTAGTTACACTAGTTCCCATCTATATATAATTAATACAAATACCAAACGGGAAAAACCCATTTTCAAACGAAATGAAATATATATAGATATTCATTTGACACATCATGATCAAATGTTTTTTTCCTGATCAAGAAGTGGATTAGTTACTTATATAAATTCTTGTATGAAAATCTGACATCTAGTACTAAGTCAATGCAATTTTGTAAATATTTTCACTAATAATTTAACATCTACAGGACACCGTAGACAGTCCCTGTTTTATAAAATAAGCTTTCAAATATATAAAAAGTCAATCATATTGTCATCTGTAGTTTTGTTATCTTTTAAATCATTATAAAAGGGTGATTTTCCTGTACTAATTTTATTGAACGTTTACGTACATTTTGATTGATTGCTTGATGTTTAGCGTCACTTTCAACAATATTGTGCTATTTCGTGGCGTTCAGTTTTTATTGGCGGAGGAAGCCGTAGTGCCCGGAGCGAACCACTGACCTTCGATAAGAAAACTGACAATCCTATTCAATTAAGATTGGAGTCGAGCGCACCTACCACGTGCGGGATTCGAACTCACAACCTCAGTGTTGACAGGCTTGTGGTACAGTAGTTCGACTACTTAGACCACTCGTTCACCGAGACCCGCAAAAATTTTGACACTCAATTGAGATTAAAAGGATGGTCACTGAGATCATAAAAATTAGTTTAACCCGACCCATCTTCATTTGCCTATCCCAAGTCAGTACCTTCCTCAGTGGTTGTCTTTAGTTATATCTAGCTAAACGTGTTTCGACAATTAGGTAATGAACTTGATGTTGATGGTCTATGCTAAACTTGTCTTTAGAAGTGTTGAAGATCACATGATTAACTCTAGATGTCTTTTAGTCTTTATGTCCTTGGGTTACTGTATAATGATTGATCGTTGGTTGCTTCACGTCTAGCTACAAATATGTCATGAATTTTCAGGACGGCTCTTTGAATCCTTGTATAAACCTCTCCATGGATCCATAGGAGGCCTGTTGTAAGGCGACATTTGCCGTACCTAACATATTCTTATTTTCAAGTTGAAGTTTAGTTTTTTTCCCGCCCGTCATCACGGTCAACTTAGCTTTTGTAATGAATGTTTATTTATTTTCGTCCTGAATATGCATGACACGTTTGAATCAAAACATCAAACAAGCAAAGCAGAAATCAATCATCAACAATTTGAACCTTTTTGGTCTTGTGATCGGCACAGTTCAACAAAAATTTGCACAGTACATCTCAATATTATTATATATCAACTTATTTCAAAGAATACTACTGAATCCAAATTATGCATTCTTACCGAGGAATTCATTGAATCTTTCAATTTCTAGTGGTCTTCCTTCATTCGTGAAATCTCCTGCGTGCAGTAAGATGTCTCCAGGAGGAACATAAAAATTCAACATATTGTCCACATGTAGCTTAGAATGTGTATCAGACAAACAAACAAATCGTAAACAATCAGGTTTTACTGGAGAATGAATATTCAGTGGGGCTACTGTTTTAAAAGATTGTTTTTCACTCGTTCTTTTCCATGCTCTGCTTGGTATATCCGTTTCTAAATCTGGCAGAATGTTGACCTGTTTAAAATACTCACTATTTTCGTCCTTATCTTTTAAAATTTCAAATTTGTCATAAGAAAAATCTTTTATTTCGTTTTCGTTTTCCTTTGATTTTGTTTGTTGACTTAAAACGAAGTTTCTTCATTTTCTTTGACTTTCAATATATCTACAAATATATAGATATATTTAGATTTGTCATTGTCAGTACATGTTGTAAATTTAAGCGTGTGAAAATATCTATTAAAAACGTATATCACTGGTGGGTCGTGTGGGGGCGAAGCGCGCGTCTGGCGTGTTAAGTTATAAGCCTGGTACCTTTGACACTATTTACACCACTGGGTCGATGCCATTGCTGATGGACGTTTCGTCCCCGAGGGTATCACTAACCCAGTAGTCAGCACTTCGGTGCTGACATGAATATCAATTATATTGTCATTTATATAAATTTCCTGTTTACAAAAGTATGAATTTTTCGAAATACTAAGGATTTTCTTATCCCAGGCATAGATAACCTTAGCCGTATTTGGCACAACCGTTTGGAATTTTGGGTCCTTAATGCTCTCCGGCTTTGTACTTGTTTGGCTTTATTGCTGTTGTGATCTGAGCGTCACTGGTAGGTCTTGTGGGGGCGAAGCGCGCGTCTGGCGTGTTAAGTTATAAGCCTGGTACCTTTGATAACTATATATCTTACTTTAACGCAAACATTAACAATATAGAAATGGAGATTAGTTATCTAATATAATTTCCGAAATTTGTCATCACCATATAATTAACATAAAGCACGAAAGAAAAGCGAAATACATGATCTCACAAGGTACTTGTTTAAGATCTGTAATAAGATCTGTCAAAAATAGTCCAATAGTAAATACACACTGAAATCTCTCCTTGTAAAAATATATACGATTGCCATATGTAAAATGTTTTTTGCAACAACAAAAAACACGCAAAAATACTTACTTTAACAAAGTGGTTACTCATACGAGCGAGCGATCGAGGCTTACCCACGTACAATAAGAAATACAGTACACTTAGTTGTATTTATGTTTAAGCCTCTACAAACAAAATATAACACGACGAAATGATAAAAATGGGCAGCCTTACCTTAATGGTCTTACATTAAGTTCCTGGTCCGGTCTAATCATATAAAAACTTGGTGACGCATGACGTTGCTAGTACATCTGATATAAATAGACGATTGACAATATACAATATTTATCAGCACAGACTCAATTCTAACAATCGGTAAAGGCTCAATTCGGTAAAGGCTCAATACAAAGTACATACGATTGGCAACTATAATATCAATAGGTTGTATACAAGTTAACTGCGTGTTAAGTAATAATTATTTTGTAATACATCATTTCTAACTTTATACAATTCCAAATGTACATCCAAGATTTGTTTGTAAATAAACGGGTAGTTAATTTAAAATCGAGATCGGACGGGGGAAAAATGCGGATGAGGCGAATAGATTAATATCATATCATAGTACAGGGTTCGTTGATAGGTTAATTCCACCCTAGGGCCCTTAATTAGAATAATCAATATGCATTTCTCATCCAATGTAAACTAGTCTTTCTTTTAGCTAACCTGGCCCACAGGGCCAGGTGAGCTTTTCTCATCACTTGGCGTCCGTCGTCCGTCGTCGTCGTCGTCCGTTAACTTTTACAAAAATATTCTCCTATGAAACTACTGGACCAAATTTAACCAAACTTGACCACAATCATCATTGGGGTATGTAGTTTAAAAATTGATCCCGCCTGCAAACCAAGATGGCCGACATGGCTAAAAATAGAACAAAGGGGTAAAACGCAAGTTTTGTCTATTATATTTGGAAACCGTTATAAATAGAGACAATCTGACAGGACAAACATGTTCAAAATGTTGAGCTCCACCAATTGTTTATTGATGTCAAAACTGTCAGGCAACTTCTTATTGCCCTCAAATGACAAATTTTACCATTTTTTTTTTCATTTTTTGTCTTTTATCTTGAAAACTATAATAGATAGAGAGAAACTTTAAGTTGTAAAAATATAAGTATGCATGGTCGAAATCGACTCGTAATAGACATTTTCGAAAAGTCATCTACACGGACACTTATACCGACACCGATACCTGCACTGACTAAAAAAATAGAGGGACCGTATCAAAATGTCAAAATACACTAAATGAATTTAATTTAACATTTTATAACTATATTAACGAGGTAAATTATATTTAAAAATAAACGCATATATTTTTAATATGATGACCTTGCAAATAGGATATATATCCCATAGAAGAAAAAGACTCCCCTCGTAAAACTTTGTTTGACTCAGCAGAGGTAGAATAAAAATATAAATTCATTATTCGTTAGTTGGTTTTCTATAATTTTTAATTCAAAATCTGAGCTAGAAACACAAAGTCCTCTCATCAGTTTTGGAATTCTTTTAGTGATGATTTTTGATATTCCAACTGTTTTCTTCTAATTGTCGAATTATACTGATTGATCTTTTTCAAGCAGTTAATTACATTTCATGTAGTTTTTGGGGTAAAATATCCAAAATGGGTATTCATCTTATCAAAAGAGAAAATCGGGTACACCTTTTTACGTTCAAGCGTGTTTGAGTTGACTGTTTTGTCCTGAATACGTATAAAGCAAATATATTGACACATCAGTCTCGCTTCAGATCCATTATTTTTTTTTATATTTAGGCTACATTTTGATAAAATAACATTACACATTCAAAACAGGAAATATATGGGTCAAGTGAATTACCTTTCTAATGTGTCATAACATCAGAGTAGGTGTGTTTGAATAACATAAGAAAAGCTTTGTACATTTCAAATGTTTAAACTGGAAGTGTTTTTCTTAGTTGTATTTTGTTTTACTTTCGTTCACTCATTTTTTAGTGAACAATTTAGGCATATTAATTATTTTATTTATGAAATGTATAAAAAAAAGTGGAACAAATGTTGTTCACCAACTCCTCCTTGGATTTATACAAAAAGTCCATGACTTTATAAGTGAATCTTAAAAATGCATAATTGAAAAAATGTGTGTGTAATCTAGGTTAATTATTCTTCAACCGCTGCAAATGTTTAGTCTGCCCTTCCACATAATACTTAAATAGAATATTTTTAATGTTTTTATTAACTTTCAAAATTTCCCGCTGACAACCAACCAGACAATAGTTTTTAGTTGACAAAACTTAAAGGCCTAAAAGTACATGAGATGCTTTATAGCTAGTAGATACATTTGTACAAAAAAACACAACTGTCATGTAAGGATCGTAATTATGCCAAGTGGATAAATTTATCGGTTTTCAAGAGCTAAGTTGACAGCGCGGGTCATCCCTACAATGGCTTCCATTTTTACGATTGAAAAAATTAATCGGCGTTATTGAGAGATGATTTTGACTAAGTAGAATCCTGACTTTCTGTGGAAAGTTCTACTAATTTACGCAAAGCCAAGCCCCCTTTTTTAAAAATTATAATATGAAGATCGGTCAATTCTCAGCTTCAAACCAGAGCCAATAAATCAACAAATCATTGAAAATATTTTTTTATACAATATTTAAAGTGTAAGTTATATATATTTTTTCATAAATACCTGTGCTCATTGAACACCTTGAGATGACCCCACCTAAAAAGGTTACCTGTCGTCCTAGGCATAGGTGTAAGCGTCAGTGTCGATAAGTTTTCGAAAATGTCTAATAAGAGTTATTGCCATTTGATAATGATTTTTACCAATTTTTGCATTTTTGCCTCATATCTTTAAAATTGTAATAGATAGATAGAAACTTAATTAGATAAGCAAAAATTATCAGCAAGACAAGACCTACATTCAAGACAATATGTAGGAAATTTTCCGACGAATAATTATTGGAGTTATTGCCCTTTAATGACGATTTTTATCATTTTTTTTATTGCGTTTTGCCTTATATAGATATAATAGATAAATAGAAACTTTAAATAACAAAAATGATCAGCAAGGCAAGATCCACAAACAAGTCAAATTTTATCGATATTGTAAGTAGACTGTCACTCTTTATAGGAGTGATTGCCCTTAAATGAGGATTTTTTAACCTCTTTTGTGTTTTGAGCAAAAGCTAAAGAAGATAGAGAGAAACTAAAATGAAAAAAATTATCAGCAATACAAAATCAACAAAAAAGAAATTTTTGTCATGAATTCTATTCTTGTCTACAATGTTGGAGATATTCCATTGTTGATTATGCACATATACCTAAGTGAGCAAAACAGACTCTTTAGAGCCTCTAGTTTGAAACTTTCTGCCTATTGCGCTTGGTGCATGGACACGCCTTTGTCTATCCTTTTTTGTGCTTATTTTTCAGTAAATATTCTTCAATTCTTAAACTTATTTTCACTTATTCAATGTGATCTTGTTCTAATTCATACACTATTACAATAACAGTAGTTTAAACATATGAATATGATAGTTATTTTCCATGGTTTCGTTGGTTGAATCGAGCGTTTCATTTTATCAGGTTTTATGGACTTCCCATTTTAGAATTACCTTGGAGTTTTTTGTTTTTTTTTTTATTATTATTTTTTTTTCTCATCTACAATGTGGAACTGAATAAGACTAAAGGGCCAAAATCTATAAACTACTGTTATTGTAATATCAAAAACTATTAAAATCTAACTTGACCTGTATGTTATGATCCATTACATGTGAAACACAACTTCCTGAATTTATTGACGATACCACAAACACCCTGATTTCTTTAAGGATGATGATTCTAATTCTTAGATGTAGTCCATTTGACCATCTCCTCAAACAACGAATGTTAATCACTAAAAAGACATGAAACTAGAGGGAACTACATAGCTTATGTTGCTAAACTGGATCTATGTGCATCTTCAACGATGGCAACTCTCAAACATTGTAGACTAGAAAAAGTTTCATGACTAAAATCTTATATTTTGTTTATTGTGCATTGCTGATCATTTTTATTGTTTACAGTATTTTATTGTTTCTTTTTCTTCTGTAATTTTTGCCAAAAACTAAAACTAAAAGAATATTAAAATTTCAAGTCATTTTATAAATTTGAAGAACATTCATTTATTAAATATTCCTTCCTTACCATATTTTTACATACATATTTGAAAGTGATAAGTTATTTCTTTAAATTTGTTCGAAGTTGCTACAGTGGTGGAGAACACGCACTCTCCATGTGTTTGAGCCGGCAGTGCTTACCCTGCCACCCTTCTTATACACTCAAAAATGAAGTCTAAATTAAGCGTTGATTCCAATCGAGTTCATTATCAGCAACTACACTGGCATTATTTTGGTACGATTTAATAAATTCAAACTTACAACGCGAACAAGAACTATACATTACATTTACTTTTTTGAACTAAACCTATTTTTTACTTCATTGCTGTGCATTTTTAATAAAATGTTGAGTTCTATTTGATTCATGTCTCTTTGAGTCAAAATCTGATATCAGGTATCCAATGATCGAATAGGGACGAAACTACCCACTTCACGTCCCAGGAGGTGTCGACACTGACCCCTTCCTGTTTTAGTATCCATAATTTTAACTACTTTTGTTTATGACAGGATCTTAAAAGTGACGGGATTTCGAAAAACTGAATGTTCCAGTTCAAAAAGGCGACAGCGTCGTCTTCAACCTAAACTCAAATGATTTCTTGTAAAATCCCCCGGTGGACGACACCAAAAGCCTCATTGAAAGCCATCTATTTCATACCTATTCATTTAACAATATCTCAAATAGTCGAGAAAACTAGATTTATCTCGAGAAGAACAAATGCCACTAAAACAAGGCAAATTGATGAGCATTCCTTCAACATGGGACAATATGTGCCATCGATTTAACGGTCTCATAAAGAAAGATCAAATTTGATTGACCGATGTAACAGATATGATATCAATCATGTTTTTTATCTTGAAATTTCTCGGAAAATTTTCAGCAATAAAGTTCACTCTATGGGACAAACACTCCAACCCAACCTCCAAAGAGTATAGACCACTGATGGTAGACGGTTATTCCCTAATGGTATTATCAACGGGTTTGAAGTCTTCTCCTATATTATGAAAATGAGAAGACATCATAAGTTACTTAAACTTGTGTCCGATCCTATTTGTCTCTATGAGTAGATAAATCGTTATAAACTAAACCGGTTTGTAGTGAATTTTGGCATAGACATTATTCTATGTACGCCAAGAGAAAGGAAAAGCGACAATTTTATCTAAGATTTTTCAGGATTTTTTAATTTCATCATTTTTAGTTGATGATGCAATTATTTAGGGATATGCCAGTTGTTTTCCATTCGTTTGATGTGTTTGAGCTTTTGATTTCGCCTTTTTATAAAGGACTTTTCGTTTTGAATTTCCCTTGGAGTTCGGTAATTTTGTTATTATACTTTA